ATCTATTATATTACAGTAATGTATAATAAGGAGGTCTTCAGTCTCAGTTCCGTTACTAAAGCAGTGGACTGGCTTCCACACTAACGGGCAAATTTCCAGTTCATATTTTGCTTTCTTTATTTTCTTTTATGACATAAATCCTATACTTCTGCTTTCTTTGCATAGTATCATGCTGCACTAAGCAAAGCACACGTGAGAGCTTTATCACACACTATCCTTTTTTAAAGAAAACTTTATTCCTATTTCTTTATTCTGTGCACACTTGTCTTTTTATAATATTTGTCATATTTTTGTTACCAAATTGGATGACTCAGGTTGCAAATTGTTGCTCCCATATATGCCTGAAGCTTTGTTTTAATCAATGTGCACACGATCGTTGTTTGTTAAAGGTTGCTGTTTTGTTTATCTTTATATGAAATTGCTGTTTGTTGTGTTTTTATTTGTGTCACTTCATTACAGAGCTTAGCTGTGCTCAGTGCTGCACAGTGTTAATCATAAAGTGGTGACAGTAAACAAAAGATTACAAAAGCCTGGATCAGTCTTTGTTACTGTAACATCACAGTTATTGTGATTTCTCCCAGTGTGCACCTTTGAAGAGCAGATTGGTGTAATTAAATTATTTTCACAAGAGAAAGGAAATGGGTGATTTAAAACAGTTTCTGCCATGATTCCATAGCCACACTTACAGTCGTGCTCCTCCTGACAGACAGACTAGATTAAAATGGATTTTTAAAAATGCCAGTGTGTGTTCATTTGTCTGTCTTTGGGCAAAACATCTAATAAAATAGTGAACAGATGGAATCTTAGAAAGCAATACATGTGTATATCTACAACTAATTACATTTTAAAGTCACCCCGATTTAAGATTTGTCCAAAATTAACCTTGAGACAGTAATGCATGCTTTCATAACATCCAGGCTTGATTACTTCAATGTGCTCCTGTTTGGAATCAGTCAGACCTCTATTGCATGATTACAACTAGTCCAAAATGCTGCAGCCCTATTTTTAACCGGTACAGGCAAAAGAGAGCGCGTTTCTCCAGTTTTGGTCTCCCTTCCCTTGCTCCCGGTTCACTTTCGAATTCAGTTCAAAATCATTTTGCATGTTTTTAAATCTCTGAACATTTCTGCCCTCTCTTATCTCGCTGATCTGCTGCAGCCATATGTCCCACAGCGCTCTCTCAGGTCAGCAGATCAGATGCTTTTATTGGTTCCAGGCACTTGTTTTAAGTTCAGAGGTGATGGGGCTTTCTGTTGCAGGTCCAAAACTGTAGAAGGAGTTACCACTGTATGTCAGGCAGGCTCCTTCTCTCACTGTTTAAGTCTCGTTTGAAAACTCACTTTTATTCCCTGGCTTTTGACACTGTGCAAGTTGATTTTAACGTCTGTATTTAACAATGTTAGCCATTTAGTTCCTATCGTTGCCTTTTTAGATCTATGTATTTTTTGATATCTCCTTTGCTTGTTTGTTTTTGCTGTACAGCACTTTGGTTGGCCGTGTTGCTGTTTTTAAGTGCTTTATAAATAAAGTGGTATGGTATGGTATGGTATGTATGGCCACCACATCTAAATGATTTTAGCAAACACAAACTCAGATTTTAACTCAGTGAATTTTACAGGTAGAAGCTGAGCATTATCCCCTAAACATCCTGTATTTTAAGTTCAAACAAATTTTCTGAAATTGTTAATAGGGGGACAAGACGGGGTAAAGTCAGGGCAGCCGACTAGGGACCTGAAAGTCCAAGGCTCGATCCCCAACCATTCCCACATGTCGTGGTGTCTCTGAGCAAGACACCTAATCCTAATTGCTCCCCGGGCACTTACATAGCTGCCCACTGCTCCACCTGGGTGTATCTCAGGTGTGATGGGTTAAATGCAGAGAACCAGTTTCACCATTGTATGGGAACATACAATGATGACAAAACATGGCACTTATCTTATCTACAGCGATAGCTTGCAAGGCAGTGAGTGATATGCATTCCTCCAAAGAATGTTAGGCCTTTTATTTCTAGATAAAATTGAAGAAATATCCTTATCTTATTGTCACTTGGCGTGTCTTGTACCTTGGAGTTTCTTTTATTAAACTGTTGGCGTCACAACTTGGCAAGGTACAAATTTTTGTTGTAGAGATTACGTCTCTACTTGCACAGAAGCTTTATTTTTGACTCCATAACTCTTCGTAGCTCTCCCATAAATTCAGCCTCTGGTCTCGCCCTTCTGCTTGCTTGGGTTGCTTTGATGAAGAACAGATGACGCTTCTGCCCCCGCTTATTCCAAAGCAAAAGTGAGACATGAACTCACCTTTTGTCTGGTGCCAACTTCTACTGTAGAGCCACTACTGATAAGTCTGAATCAGAACAGGAGATAAGTTCCTCCCCTTCCATTTTTTTTATTGATTACGAATGATTATAGTATTAAAATGGGGGATTTATTCCCAGAGAAGATGTCTGTTCTTTTAAAACATTTATGAAAAAAAATAGTTGCAACTAAATGGAAAATCACCACGCAGAGACCAACTGTGGCAACTCGAAGACCTTTTCATACCAGGTTTTGTTTTTTTTTTCTTCCAAGTGCTGCTTTTGGTTGAACAGCAAAGAGATGCCTTTCATAGCAGAGGGACTGACAGAATGTGATATGGTTGAAAAAGTAAAGAGAGAAGGACTAATCTAGAAACATTTTGTACATTCTTTTCCTCCCTCAGTCGTCTTGTGTAACCTCACTGGCATTGAAGAAATCTTGCAAGAGCTACTTCATGCGCTTGTCGGTAAACATATTATTATATAATTGTTGCCATGTGTGTCCCGTCAGTCTTTATTTTTTTCTAAATGCTCATATAAAACGAAAGTGCTTGTGTTTTTCTATATTTTACTTGAATGAATTATTCACTTTGAAGCAGGCATTCTGTAGTACAGCTGTTTATGTTAATAAACACAGAAATTCTTCACATTTAAACTTTTTTTTTTTTTTTTTTACACTGGCTGGTGTAGCTCCACCTGTTAATGAAACACACCACTTCCGTTGGACGTGCTGTCTGCCTGGAGGAAGCAAAGAAAAAGAAAGACATTACATCACAGCAATTGCATGCAACTGAACTTGTTACTGTCTATCAACCACAGCTGTCTTATTTTTCTACTTCTGTGCTGCAGGCAGTAACAGATAAAACAACACAACGTATCATTTGCCTAGGAAAGACCTGGCAAATCAGCAAAAGATGACGTCACAGTGTTCAAATGACAAAATATTTGTGCAATAATACTTGTTGCAATGATAAAACATTGCACTCTGCCGTTCAGTGGTCAAGTTCAGGATTGATTAAGCTTTGCTAGAGATGCACCAATCTGATATTAGTATCGGTACTGATATCCAAAAAAATTCCTTGATTGGGTATCTGTGACAATGTGACCGATCCAAAAGGACAGAAGCTGATTGCTGTTTATTTTAAATATCTGCCAATCAAGCTAGTGAAGCTATTGTTTTTCCCTCTTATTTCAGCTCCTTTATTATTTATTTTACATTATATTTAAACTTCCTGAACCATTTGAAAGGTTTGTTGAAGTTAATTTTTTTCATGTTTGACCAAAGTTGTCCGCCTGTTGTTTTTGTCCGTTTCAGTATCTTTATTAGGGGTGTAACGCTAAAATCACATTTCGGTTCGGTTCAGTTTCGAGGAGGGCTCGGCTCGGTTAATTTTTGATGCAAAAAAGGCCAAAACAAAGACTTACAAAATGTTTCTTTGGAAAATACGCCAAGTAAACAGGAGGTTAACAGGAGGTGGTGTAAACTGGAGGTGATCTGGTTAATGGAAGACTCAGCTGCTATCTCAGTTCTCAGACTGCAAACAACGCAGAGATAAAAAAAAATAAAAAAAGACTTAATACGATTATAATTTTAAATTTAAAAAAGTTAATTGAATCATAATAATACAGTAACAATATCTCTTCTTTCATGGTCATCATACGAGGTGGTTGAATATTTTCTCTCGCTCATCATCGATGTGGCAGCGCTTTAAATCTGGGGTCAGGCTTTTGACAATATCACTTTTAGCTTTTTCATAAAGTACTGCTACAATTTTTTGGCTGAAGTGTTGATATGATGTCGTAGGCAGCAGAGCTCAAGAACTTTAATCATATGCTTAAAGCCGGTGCATCAACAACAGAATTCAGACATAGGTCCAGAGTTTTACAAACTCCTACCTCTTGTGCTATTACTTTGAATGACCTGATATAGGTTGGTTAAATGCTGCTGTTATCGGTGTTTGCACCAAGATGCTAGAAGAGACGTTCACATTCGGGTGATGTCGTTTCAAGTGTGTTAACAAGCTAGACGTGTTGCCTGCTGCAGATCCAATCCCCATGAAACAACGTCGACACACCGTTTTGGATGTGTCCAGTTGTCTTTTAACAAGAAAGCCATCATGTTCCCAAACAGGAGACTGCAACGAGGTGGCTTGTTCGTTGCCTGCTAGGCTGCGGATGCTACGCATGTTGCAAGATAATAGCGCCGTGCTGAAACACACTTAGGAACTTTAGTTCCGCGGCGCATAATTTCTCGTTAATAAAATTTAATGAGTGAAAAAATAACCGAAACGGTACACACGTGGACCGAACCTGCTGTACCGAAACGGTTCAATACACCCACATGTACCGTTACACCACTAATCTTTATTATTATTTATTTTACATTTGATGTCATACTCCTAATTGCACTGACTGAACAAATTAAAGTTATGTTGTTTTTACATATTTGGCCAAGACTGTGGTGTGTTTAAGTGTGCTGCACTGGTGCAAAGTTTTCAATTACATTTGTAATTCATACATTTATGTCTGCGTTTAAAAAAAATTATGTTTTTATTAAGTTAGTTCAGCAATGTTTTCCTGTCTCAGGTTGGTATCGGATTGGTATCGCCCGATACCAAACATCAGATATCGGTATCGGACGTGAAAAAAGTGGATCAGTGAATCCCTATTATTTACACGTGCATTTTCTTTTTGTTTTTATCAGATAACATGGAAGGGCTTCAGGAGGTGGTAAAGGAACGTTTAGCTGAGTTAATTCGTGTCCTCAAGACGGTAATTAGCAAACACCAGACCCTCAACTCTGTGGACATCCTTGGAGCAGCTGGCATGGTCATTGCTAAAGTCAAAGGTGAGTAATTACTCAGCAGCATGCATGAGTGCTGACAGATGTACAGCTGAACACAGCCAAGGCACAGATGATACTTGTATCTAATATCTGGGCATGAAATCTCACAGTTGAATCAGTGGCTCAAGATAAGAGTTTGCGTCACAGTTTCATGAAGGAATCTTTACCCACTCCACGCTTTTTTTGGAAGTATGTTTCTGAAACGTGCCGTTTATGAAGTTTTCTAAAGCAGCAGATAAACCTGAAGAGAATCTCAGCTCATAAACGTCACATAGAAATGTGACCCATCGCAGAGGAATTCTTCCACACGAGAACGGCGGAGGCCTAATGCCTATAATTTTCATTCCATGTTGTCAACATCTTGAGACTCCTCCTTTCAGTCAAGATCATCCACTTTTCTTCACTTTTTCTTTTCCTCTTTTGTTGTAATATCCATGGCCATCTGGTCACCTGTCCTGTCTCTGAGCAGTAAGAATGTGTGTTTGTCTGCGTTTTGTAGAGTTTGGTGGTGCATTCCATGTTCAGGTTGCAAAAAGCAAACAAAAATATCCAGATTTGTCAAAAGAGCTATTCACACTCGAGTCACATGACAAAAAGGACTCAGTCCACAATAACGTTGAAATTGTTTCTTTTAATTTACTTTTATTTTTTTAATATTTAAACCTAAATATCCTAAAATAATAATCTAAACATCCATCCATTACATCGTGTTTACCCGCTTTTTTCCTTTTTGGGTCATGGGGGGGTCACTGGTGCCCATGTCCAGCTATCAGTAGCTACATATGTTTACATGGACATAAGTAATCGGATTAAACAGCCATTCGGAATAAAAATGTGTCATGTAAACGCCCCATTTGGATTATTGTTTGTTGATTCAGCTCGATCCGAATGAATTTGTAATCCGAATGAGAGGGGTGGTTTATGCCGATTCATAACCCGAACCGTGTGCATGTAAACACTTAATCTGATCATTTTATTCCTATCGTGGAAAACTGACCTGACTGCGCATGTGCGACCTATGTCTACCTCACGTATTTCCGCCTGGCTAGATGCTAATATGTCGGGGAAGCAAAACTGGTCGGTGAGCGACAAACGAACTAGAAACTTTGAAAGAGCTCAAAATGATCTGTATCACTTGTAGCTCAATCAGGGAGTGCAGTAACGTCTCCGCCGTCATTAAAACCTGGCGCGGGTCCATTTTGGGCGCTCAGGTTTGTTTACGTTCATCGCGAAAGTAAAATGGAAGTAGAACTTCTTCTGTGGTTTTTTTAAGGAGAGTTTACCACTCTGTGCACGTCCGTAGTTTTATTCTAAATAAAAACCCGCTGCATGAAACAATCATCGTGAACGGATTGCGCCCATGTAAATGATACATTTGGATTATTTTGTCTGAATACATTTCAGTCTGATCAAATAACTTTGCGCATGTAAACATAGCTACTGTGTGAGAGGTGGGGGCGACACCTTGGACAGGTCTCTAGTCCATCACAGGGACACATAGAGACAAACAACCATTCACTCTCTCACCCACACCTAGGGACAATTTGGAGTTGCCAATCAGCCTAACATGCACATTTTTTTGTCTGTGGGTGGAAAACGGAGTACCTGTAGAAAACCCACGCATGCACGGAGAGAACATGCAAACTCGACCCAGAAAGGCCCCCAGCTGGGATTCAATCCGGCGACCTTCTCGTTGAGATGCAACAGCTCTACCAACTTCTCCACCATGCCACCCAATCATCTAAATATCTTCTCCTAATTGGTTGCTTAAAAAATATACACTGGGATCAGGTTAATATTGAATTTTTTTGGATAATTTAAAAGAAAAAAGCTTTAAAAAGAAAATGTTTCTTCATAAAAACCTTTTTAGCATTTTGGTGATTGTCTTGTTCTTCATTATTATAAAATATAATCAAATATCTCTTCATTTATGCATGTTCCTTCCTGATGTTAATGGTAGCCGTTATCTTATAAAAAAGGTTGTAATAAATCAACTATTTTCTTTAAACTTCATTGAGGGGTTTGAATCTCCACCAGGGGGTGTCTTACGCCAGATCAGACTGTCCCTAATGGCTGGTGGGAACACAAAATTCACTTAGATAGTTAAAGGAGGAAAAGCTGAAAGAAGGATGAATCAGTGAGACATCAGAGATGAAGACTCAAAGGTCTGGATGATAACAGGTTTCTCCTTACTCAGAGTGCCGTCTTGTTACCTGCGTTACTCTTTGAAGCTTGACACCTGGGGCGTGTGTACAGCCGCCTAAATGCTACTTTTTTTTCCAAACATTGCTTGTCTGACTAGTTTTAAATGGCACATTATCTACTCAAACCATTTCCTTCTTTAAGCTGTTTTTTTTTTTTTTTTTTTTACGTGCATGCAAGTTCTCAGAAACTTGAAAAGCCTGAAAAAGTTTAATTGTAGCTGGAAGCATCTATTGTTTTCCTCTCGTTTTGTCACCTGGCCTGAAACAAACTCGTACAAAGTGACTTTCCAAGTCACACTCAGACCAAATCCCTGATTCTAACCACAAGGCGTAACAATAACGACAATGTTAATTTCCTCAATGTATTAAAATTATTTTATATTCTAGTCCCTTTTACTTGGTGAATACATTTACAACTAACTTGTGTATTTTTAGCCTATTGTAGATTTATTAAAATGATCTAAACACATTGTTTATTGACGTTTAATAGGTTTTTTTTGCATTAAATTTGTTTTCCTTTAAGTGCGCATGATGCATACAGCTTTAGCCTAATGATTAGGCAACGACTGAATCGTTAACACGTGACAGAAAAAAGCTATGATCAGACAAAATGCCATTTTCACAAATTTCCAGCGCAGTCATGAGAAAACAATAGGCCGTGCACTTAAATGATGCAGTTTCCAAATTTCAGCCGTGACAAGAGGGGCCAAGCTTTGCAATCATTGTTAGACATCCACAGGATGTCCTGAGGAAGAAGTCAGTACCGAGTCGTACGCTAGCATTCAGCGAGAGGGAGGTGCACGACAGGGAGGCTTGCACTGCACCTCCTTTCTCTCGGAGTCCTCAAGAGTCTCCCTGGAATGTGCTGCCTTCCTAACCCAGTATGCCATGACCTCTCTGAGTTTATTCACTGGCTTGGGATTTATAATTACCCATCCACCCTTAACATGGATTAAGTTAACCCTCATCAAGAGAAAATGGGAAATCAAAAGCTATACAACATCTTGGAGCCTGGATCGGTTAATGTGCTAGCTACTTGTTCACATTGCTGCAGATTTCTGGTACTATTTATTGGCAGCAAAAGCCAGGTAGAGAAGGTAAGAGCTGTCATGGTAGCCTGTAGTCCTACATTTGACAGAATTCAAGCTGTGTGAGTGCTTCCTGTTGCGGGGCAGACAGGAAGTACTCCGCTTAGTCGGATTTCAGTGACCGTGTTTTTGGTTCCTCTGATTGCTTTCTGCAAATGTTGCTGCGAAGAAACCCTTGTGCACACGTTCCCGATGATTGTCAAGAGCTGATGGCTTTTTAAAGTTGCTGGATACTGTACTGCCAAAAGTTGCCCGAAGCGAAGATCGCCGTCTGTGGTCACGGTCAGCATGGATGATGGTCCGGAGGATTATATCACATTTAAACAAAGGAGGAAAAGTTTGGGATTGTTTCTGAGTCGACATTGAATCCACCACTTTGAAGATCTTTGAATCTTTTTCAGGAGGACATTTTGAGTGGGTAGGACAACATACGGACATTGCACAAAATTACTTTTGGCACCTTGTTTCTTTTTAACCTTCATCCTATTTTTTTTACCCAAACTGTGTAACTGCTGAAGGATTTAGGCTTTTTCAGTGTCATCCATAAAGTCAGGTCTTTGCTGAATCAATCTGAAGCCTGTAGAAAAGATGACCAAACTTTATAAAAGCTAACTTGCTCTAGTTTATGACTGATGGTTGAAGTTTTAAAATGACATCAAACTGCTCGCCTTCTTCATTTATTTGTAAAGTTGCCTGCTAATTGTTGAAGGATTAAGTGCACAAAAGCTGGTGGCAAGCCATTTTTTTTTTTGGCCGAAGTAACGGCGTGTTTTATCACTGTTCACAGGCATTAACTTCGAGGAAGTGAACCCTGAAAACAAACAAGCATTCGGCGAGATACACACATCCATTGACATTTTGGCATTCACGTTCGGCAATGTGTGAGTACAGTGCTTGTTTTCCTTTTCAACACCCCCATTTTATTTACTTTTTGTCCTACTGCCAGCAAGTGTTGGGCTGATTTTAGACCAGAATATAGAAGCTAGTTGATCTAGTTAAACCTGTCATTACCCCACTCCTTTATCTGAATTTAAATACCAGTTTAGAGGCACTAGAATAGATTGCCCCTTTGACCATTCGACCTGTTTCTTAAACTCTTTCAGTCACATATGAATATAATGTGTACATATTTGGACTCCACAGAGTTTCTGACTTCCTTATGGGAGATGTGGACAGCAGCTCAGGGTTGGGGAACCCCCAGACCAGGAGAAGCAGAGTGAGACCCCCATCATTCTTTTCTTTTCACCTTCAGGCAACATGTTATTCTAGTCTTTCTTCTGAACCATTGCAGCTCTCTAAAAGGGGCACTAATAGCAGCAATTTCACCCCGCCTTTATTTAAAAAATCCTCAAAGACTTGCTTTTTCTGTATTTAATTGGGGAGTTGAAAACCCCAGCTGCTACTGATGTGTGACTTTGATTGGATGTGTGATTTTCCTTCCTTTTAATCTAAACTGTCTTTTTCACAGTCCTTTGACAACCTCTCTGTGGATCCTGAAGGGTATGTTCCAGAGAGAAGTAATCTTGTGGGTAAGTTTACATCACAGTCACTTTTCTCTAAGCATGTAAAAAAAAAAAAAACGTCCTTCTGAAATGTGATAGCTATAAATGGCTTTATTCTGAAGCTCAGGGCAGCCTTGTCAGTTTGTGACTTAGCTAAGAGATTTTGCCTTTCCACTCTTTCATCCCCATGGTAGACCCGCCTTAAACCTCTGTTTTAACCTCTGCTGCTTTGTCATACTAGTTGTTCGTTTCTCTTTTGGCGTCTGACAGTAATTTTGTGTGGGATGGGGAAATACATAGGTTTTGTGTTAAACTGCATGACTTGGCTCACGTGAAAGGCATAAAAGCCTGTCCGCATGTTCCCATAAACGCCTGGCACTTTCATACTGTCCCGTACTGACTACTTCACCAACCTTGTTCTGTTTTTGTATTTACTGTGCCCTTCCACACGTCTTAATAGAAAGTGGAACTGAGATATGTGAGTCCAGCTTGAGGACATTGCACTCATGCCTCCTACCTGATATCCATCTCTAATGACGTCGCAGGTCCAGAGGTGCCACTGTCAAGAGAGGAAGAAGTCGACTTGACCCTGCTGAAGAACGACAGTGGGGTAGAGTCTGCTCTTCTTTATGCAAAGGCCTGGTCCAAGTACATCAAAGATCTTCTGGGATGGATGGAAAAACGAGTAGTTATGGGTGAGATATTCGTGACAGTACATTTTTTTTGCTAGCAAGCATATTTTTTTAATCCATTTCCTTAGGTCAGTTATTAGTAATGCTTTCTGAGCATTTGTCTTCTTTTGTAACATACAGTAGATGCATGAAACACAGCAATGTCTAAATGAGTACCCATAATACAAATGAATGTCAGATTTGCCATGAAGTGATTAGATGATTTGTTGATCACAAATATAATTAGTTCCTTGTTCTTTTGCACATTTTTTTTTTTTATCTTTCAGACATCGAGAATTCTAAAAGCTGTGCCAAACTGGCTGAATCTGCAAAGACCTTGGCCAGTCAACAGGTAACAAAAAAAAACCTTACTTACTGATTTCTAGTTCTTTCCTTTACATGTAAAATAAGATTATCAAAAATATATGCATTCTTTATTTTTGTTCAAGGACTTCATGCCATTTAGTGATATCTACATTTCCACATTCAAGAAGGACATAGAATACAACCAGCTCATTATTCAGACTGCAGTCGCTCTTCAAACCAATAAATTCATACAGGTAAAAAAAAATGACACCGAGAGCTAAACTCTAAACTTTTGGATATGTTTCAACATGCTACTTTGGCATTCACTTTAGTAAAAGCACAGTGAAAGCATCAAAATGCTGTTTTGCTCATTTGTAATTTTGTAAAAGTTAATAGTCAATGTAAATTCTAGCTTTTCTAAACACAGACCCTAATGTTTATTTTTTCCATGTATTATTGTTGAAATTTTACTTGGTACCAAAAAGAGGCTATTTATTTTAACCAAAAAACTAAACTTGACTGTTGATGATTTATTTTCAGCCTCTTTTGGCTCGTAAGAACGAACTGGACAAGTTGAGGAAAGACCTCAAGGAGCAATGGCAGAGAGAGCAAAAGAAAATGGTTTGTAAAACGTTTATGAACAGATAATTGGTGTGTATTTAATTTTAATTCAAACAGCACAACTTTTAGTTGTTTCCCATTGCAAACCAGTGAATGTTGCAGCATTAGTCACCAGCTCTGCCACTGTGAGAACTGTAACAAAAAAGTGTATTAAGTCAAAATAATTCCATTTAGTCTTGCAAAAACACTAAACAGCTTTATTTAGATGATCGTTGATATACTCTTGAATAATCCAGTTTTAATTAGTATTAAAGAACTCGAGTTTTTTTTCACTCATATATTTTTTAATCTAAGTCTAGATAATCATGTACAGGTGTACAAACTTCAATGTATCACTTCACTCGCATGTTTGGCCATTCAGAAAGCCATCTCTGATTGTTTCCATGGTAACGCTGCACACATTGTGACGTTTAATTGTGGTTTCGTTATGGCTGATCCGATCTGTGTGATGTTGGCAGCAAGAGGCTGACACAACCCTGCGGAAGGCACGAGCGCTGAACACACAGAGGAGAGAGGAGTACCAGAAAGTCCACTCGTCTAAAAGCCGCTCCCAGGAGGAGCAGCCGAACGCTGGCAATAAGCAGATGGAGAAGAAGAGGAAGCTCCAGGAGGAGGCTTTGCAGAAGGTCAGCAGTATATATGTATACAGTATATAAAACAGATGTTATTTGGTGTGAGCCTTTTCCAGATCTTTAAACTTGTTTTGTATCCGATGTGTTGGACAGGTTGAAGAGGCCCAAGACCAGTACCAGAACTGTTTGGCTGACGCTGGCGTCAGAAAAATGGATCTGGCCAACGCTAAGAGAACGATCCTCTCGCAGATCCGAGAGATGGTCTTCCAGTGTGACCTCACACTCAAAGCTGTAAGAGTTTATGTCATCATTCGATAAGAATGTAATGCACTGAGAGGAAAGTGAACTGTTTTACCGACCTGTCACATTCAAGAACATTAAAAGACTTTAACTCATGTTGCTAAGGTGCTAAAACAGCTCTGGTCTGCCAGTGCAAGGATAAGAGATCTTTAAACTAGTTGGTACCCAGCACCACGCTCTAGACCCCTTGTGTCCTGTGGGTTGCAGGATTGGAGCGAGCTCTGTAAAGAGAGGCCACAGACGTTCAAACACAACAATTTGATGAGACTTGAAGCCTCATCATCGCCTCAGGCTGTTAAATAAGTTTCTTGTGTCGTTCGGTGGCCATGAGACTTTGCTGCGCTAGTCCTGCAGCAACATTTAGTGGAGGGACACACATTAAACAACCGGAGAAGAAGAAAAAACTCAAGAAGTTCCTAAAATTAACATCTACAGTAATACCAGAACATGAGGTTTCCCAGCAGAACGTTGTTGAAAAATATTGAAATTAATTTGATGAGTTTGTAGTTTTATCTCGAGACTGATCTCTGCAGATATTTGTAAACAAACACGTTTATGTATAATACAAGACTAAAACCTGCTCTCAAATAAATTTTAATAGAATGAAAATAAATAGCACTAGGGATGCACGATATTATCAACATGGTATCGGTATCAGCCGATATTAGCATTAAAGTTAAATATCGGACATCTGCCATTCCATCAAAATTACTCACCAATATTAAAGGTTATGTTTTTGTATGACAACCCAACATCAACAACGTGATGACATCACGCGCGCCTACCTGATCTCATCATGGCGGAGAGGAAGAAGTCAAAATGTCGGCGGTGTGGAAGGTTTTTTTTTTCGTTGAGGATGTCAGATTCTGAAGATTTTTAAACTATGTTGAGTCTCGCTACATCGTCCCCAGTCAGAGATATTTTTCCGATATAGCCTTACCCGAGTTACAAGCCGTCATTTGCGACGTCATTGAGAAGCTAATAGCCGATAGCACTTGGGTGAGTTTTACCACAGACATTTGGACGTTGTGTTAGCCCCATTAGCATGATTAGTTTTTCAACACAATGGATAGACAAAAACTTTGAACCTAAAAAGTCTGTCCTTCATGCACAAGAGTGCAGAGGATCCCACACTGCAGCTATAGGAACCTGGAACAAGACTCCACAAGTGAGACAGCATCGCAGGTGACTAATGCTAATAAATGACATTTAACACTTTTCATTTAATATAAGTTAAAGTGCTATGCATATGGCTGTTACTGAATATATGTCACCAGCTCTTACTGCTGTTATACAATTTTTGTAGCAAATAAGCCTAAATAAGAGGGAAATGTTTTGACAAAGAAAAGTGTATTAAAAATATCTGTATCGAATATCGGCCAAAACTCCAAAATTGTGCATCCCTAAATAGCACTAAAATGTATTTTAGTATGATTTAATTGGTTATGATGTAATCATTTTTTCCACTGACCTCTATAATCATATTTAATGACACTTCCATTTATTTGTATTGTTCACTCTCTTGTTCTTTTTTTTTTTTTAGGTCACAGTAAACTGGTTTCAGATGCAGCAAGCGCAGTCTGTTGCACTCCCTGCCCACTTCCAGGCCCTGAGTGAAAATGCCAAGCTGTATGAACCAGGAGGGTGCTACGCCGAGTTTGTTCGGAACCTGCCCAAACATCTGCCTAAAGAGCACCTTCAGCCAGACTCCGTTTCTGACATTTCCAGGTGAGAACGATTTTGGGAGCGCCCTCTGATTCTGGAAACACTTGGCTGCATGAAGCAGGACGGACACTGAAAAGAATTACTTAAATTTTGTGAACTAAGAGGATAACATCTTTAAAGTCATCACAGAGCGCGTTGTTGCACTTCTGCAAATTTCAAACGCCGTGCCTTTCATTGGAAGTCAGCCCAGCTGACACATGCTTACATTTGTTTTGTGGTTTTTGTATTTTAAAGTCATTTAGGATCAAAGTTCAGATGTAGAGGATAGTACGTATTTCAAATATCTTCAGGGCTGTCCCTCCCATGTTAAAGTTGCATAGTTCTACTTTCAACAAAAGTAACAATGAGTCAAAGTGGGAGGAGGAGACAGAACTTAGCAGAGACAGCTCGTGCTGAATTTCATGCCCTTCCTCAGGAAATATCTGTGTCGCAGGCTGAAAGCAGCAGAGATGATTGCGAGCGTGAGAGTTTGGCTCTTGTGTGAAGCTGCCCCTAGAGTTCTAGTAAAAGTTAAGAATCAGCTTCCCACGCATATTTGCTCATTTTCCTCAAAGAAAAGAATCAATATTTTTATACCTCTAATGTACAGAGTCAGTAGGAAGGTTAATGGTAACCCTGATAGATACAGTTAAGAGTAGATTACAGAAAATCCTATAAGTGGCTGGAATGTGACTGATCTGCTGTGTGTATTTCCATTATTTATGAGATTTGCTGACAGTTTCTTTCTGTTTTTGTTCCTTCTCTGTTTTATCAGACGTGATAAATACACTAACACATCCTAGTCTTAAAAAAGGCATTCACTTTTAAAAATAACTAGAGAAATTGTATTTCCTGCAAAAATGCATTGTGAATGCTTATTGCCGAAGAACTTGTTAAAAAACCCCAGCTGAAATTAGCTAAAAACCACATGCCGAAATGTAGCTGAAATGGAAAAACAAGCAGAAATTTGCAGCAGAAAACAAAAGAACACATATTTGCTTAATTAGGTTTAAATAAGCAGAAATTAGCACAAACGATAAGAAATTAGCTTAAAAAAGTAGCTGAAAAGGCATAAAGAAGCATAAACTATTACAGGGAAATGGAAAGAGCTGAAATGAGCTAAAAAGTTGGAATTAGCTGAAAAGGCTCAATTTAGCAAACAAAAACCCAGCTAAATAGTAGCTGAAATAACAGAGAAAGCTGAAACTACCACAAAAAAAATCTGAAAGGAGCACAACAAGCTGAAAGCATAAAGAAGTTAATTAGGCTGAAAGTAGCAGAAATTACCATGATGAACTTGAATTTATCTTAAAGCAGCTGAAATTAGCCAAACAATTCTAAAAATAGCTGAAAAAGGTAGAACAAACTTCATTTAGCAGAAGAAAGGGGAAAGAACACATTTACTGAGAGAAGCAGAAATGAGCACAAAAAAGTGGAAATTATCTAAAAAAAAATTAAAATAAAAAGCTTAAACGAGCAAAAAAATAACAAGCTGAAAAGTAGCTAAAAAAGCCAAAAGAAGGCTTTTAATTACCAGAAGGAAGTGGAGAGAGCACATTTTTGTTGAATTGGGCTGAAAAAAGTTTAAATGCATGCAAAACATGTGGAATTAGCTGAAAAAAGCTAAAACTAGCAACAACAAAAGCTAAATAGTAGCTGAAATAGCAGTAAAAACTGAAACTAGCAGACTAAAGCTGAACGGAGCCTAACAAGTTAAAATTAGTAAAAAGAAGTTAGAAGAACAAAAATGTTGTAGTTAGCAGAAAGAATCAGAAAGGATCACAAAACGGCTGAAATTAGCTGAAAAAATGTTTAAATTTGCACAAGGAAGCTGAAAGAAGCTGAACCAGAACAAAATGTGAAAGGAGCAGTAAAAGGTTGTAAACAGATCTAAAGATATGAAGGATGTAAAATGAGATAAATTCATTTTCTATGAGACAAAAAATGTCAGAAAAGGCTAAATATTTCAAAAAGCTAAAGTTGTACCAAAACCAAGTCATATAGGATTGTCCTGAAAGAGCTGAACGGTTTGATTTATGATTTGTTGAAATAACACAAATATTGTGGAACGAGACAGTTGCTGAAAAACATAGGGAAGAATTTAGAAGTGGCAATAAGATCACAATAGTGTGAATGCTTAGTAATCATTCACGCAATAAAAAGTAGCCTTTTTGTAATTTTTTTGCAGTTTTTTACACAATTTTAGAGTAAAAATAATCAGCAGAAAGGACAACACTTATCTTTTTACAAAATATAGAACTGCACAAAATTAATAAAATATTCAAAATTCCCCACAGCTTAGTTGAATAAAAATCAAGCATAAAGAGTATATAGCACTAAAATATTCATGCCTTCAGCTGTAAGCTGCTTGTCAGATTGGTACACAAGTTTCCAAATCAGAACCTTTACTAGAAACTGAAAGTGAAACCTGAAGCATCTGGTGTTGCTTTCATTTAATATGCTTGTCTCAACAAATATACACTATGTGACAAAATAATTATGACCTATAGAGCAAGGTTTTTCCTGCAAAATGTATTGCACAAAATCTCAAGCACCACCTTTATTTTTCCAGGTTTGCGTTCAGCAAGAGGTCGCAGGGCAGCACTCATTCCTCTCATGGAAACCTGTCGCAGGAATCCGTCGCCTCCTGTGATGACATGGACCGGCCCGCGCACATCAGCAAAAGCAGTAGCAGCACAGACATACGTGGTTAGTATTCAAGCCTGTGAGGTTCATTATTAATTCTAGAAAGAAACTCAAATCAAACTTCTGCTCTTCCTGGAGGATGGACTGAAAGACTTGCTGGGTCTTCTGAGTCATGGAAATGTTTTAAGGGACTGGGAGTCTAACAATCATGTGACCTTCTAGTCTCTGAAAATAACTTAGAATGTTACTAAAAAAGCAGCTGCTGTTTAGCTACAGTGCGTTTCGTTTGTTTTGTGATTGGTGGTCCGCTTGTGTTTGAGCAGCGCCGAGGAGCCAGGCCCCGCTGAGAGCCTGGGCCTCCAGCAGCCAGGGCAGCCAGGGCGGGATGTGCAGCGACTCGGAGAGCGCTGGAGGCAGCAGCGAGTCCAGGTCCATGGACTCTCCCACAGCCAGCCCAGGTACAAGGATTTCACACAAAAATATTTTTGTAAATCAGTCAAATGCATTTGGACATAAAAAAAATGAATATGCGAGCTAAAACAAGAAAATATAAGATAAACAGTAACATTCAATACTCTAGATGACTCATTATGTGCTGCTTCTCTTTATTTATTTTTTATAACATCCTGATTGTGTATTAGAGATAAGTGCCATCATATCAACTATGAACATCTTTCATTATGTGCTAACATGTTACATTCAAATGGAAATGTGCATTAATAGAAGACACTTTTTTTGTAAATGATGATATATTAAGGTTCAAGGTGACTTTATTGTCATTCGCGTCACATGTGGTACATGAGGTGGAACAAAATTGTGTACTCAAGGCCCTGTTACACCCAAAAATAGCACAAATATAAAGTATAAAAACGCAAACAGTATACAAGGATCTAAGATATATGCTAAACAATAATAATATAATATAATAGTGTATTAAACAGCAGTCTGAACATGAGTCTGTTGTGAGCATATGGGTATGACTATAGCAGCTTAAGGTAAGAAATCAGCAGCATGGATAATCAGCAGCACAGATAAAGTATCAATTGTCCAATTAAAGTGACATTACAGTGATTATCCTGGTTAGATTCATGAGTCTAACAGCTTCACTTAATGCTCTGAAACCTCCTGCCTGAGGTGAGAGGGGCAAAAAGTGTGTGTGCTGGGTGAGTGGGGTCCTTCATGATGCAGGTGGCCCACTTCTTGCATCTGGAGGTGTAGATGTTTGTGATGGTGGGGAGACTGACTCCAGCAGTCTTCTGTGCAGCCTTCACCACTCTCTGCAAAGCTTTTCTTTCTGCAGCTGTGCAGCCTCCATGCCACACGTTGATGCTGGAGCACAGAATGCTCTCCACTGCACACCCGTACAAGGAGGTGTATACATCTTAGGTGTATATATATGAGGTGGTATATATCTTAGAAGTTTATGTATCTTATGTTAATTAGTAGCATGTGTGTATTGCATTCAGTCTCTGAACATTAACACAGGAATATTCTTTTACTTATTTTATTTTAAATGTTTATTTATTTATATTTTGCAGGTGACTTTAAGCGTCGGCTGCCCAGAACTCCTTCTACTGGTACCATGTCTTCAGCTGACGATCTGGATGAGAGGGAGCCCTTTACTCCCTTAGACAATGGTAAGACATGTCAGTGTGTGTGTGTGTGTGTTCTTTGTGTGTATTTTACTGCAGAGAGGGATTCACGTTCATGCTGTTTGCTAATTATAGTCTTGCGTCTGCAGAGAAGTTCAGGCAGGGAAGGGGAGATAGTGTGAGAGGATTGCACAATACTCGTGCACAAAACATCTAATTATCTTATTAGTGTAAACCCTGACGTGTCAGACGTTTTTATTTTTAGCAAAGCAGCGTGGATTAGGCTTTTGTTACTTACGAGACATAGTTTCAGTTTTAATTTTTCTGTATCTGTGTTGATGTCAATGTCAGAGTTTATTGCCACAGTGGGAATAAAAGCTGCCCCTAATATTTAAAACTTGTGCATTGAACAGTTTTATTTGTGGCTATTTTCACTGCATTGTTTTTTTTTTTAATTTATAATTGAGCTGTGAATTTGTTTTAGTAACAAAAAAGACAGAAAACTACTTAACCCATCGCCGACGACCCACTTTAATTTGGTAAATCTTTCCTAAGTGGTAAAGGGTTAAAGCTAATGTTTGTATAGATGTGTGACATCAGGAAAAATAGCATTTTTTGTAATAAATTTTGTTTTGTGAACTAATTCCACTTTTCCTCCTGAAAAGAACATTTGTTTCAGTAGCAACCTTTCTCATAAAAAAAATCTCCTGTGATTTCCAGGTCTAGCAGAGATGGTGATAGAGACGGCGAGCTCTCCTGGCCCGTTCCGAAATGCTCAAATGTCAAAAGCGGCTCAAACCCACAAGTTAAGGAAACTGCGAGCTCCTTCTAAGTGCAGAGAGTGCGACAGTCTGGTTGTTTTCCATGGAGCTGAATGTGAAGAGGTACAACACACACAGCTGTACTCTGACTGAGGAAAATATACTGAAGTGATAGTGTTTATTTATACAAGGTGGTAAAATTGACAAAGGCTTCAAATTTAAACTTTTACTGTCTGCTTCCTTCTGTCAGTGCTCCTTGGCCTGTCATAAAAAGTGTCTGGAGACACTTGCTATCCAGTGTGGTCACAAAAAGCTGCAAGGCCGGCTGCAGCTGTTTGGTATCGACTTTGCTCAGGCAGCAAAAAACAGCCCAGATGGGATCCCTTTCATAATCAAGAAGTGCACGTCTGAAATCGAGAGTCGAGCTCTCAACATCAAGGTGCGTGTTCTTTTTAAGGTGCAGTGTGTGCAGCGTAATGTCCTCAATGAATTAGCAGTAATAGTGCGAATGCTTAGTAAACATTCACACTATTGTGATCCTACTGCCACTTCTAAATTCTTCCGTAGGTTTTTCAGCATCTTTCTCGTTTCACAATTTTTGTGCTATTTCAACAAATCATAAAATGTTCAGCTCTTTCAGGACAATTCTGCTATGACTCTTGGGATTGGTGCAACTTTAGCTTTTTGAAATATTTAGCCTGTTAGCCTGATTTCTAGAAAATGAATTGAGCTCATTTTACAGCCTTCAAATCTTTAGATCTGTTGACAACCTTTTACTGCTCCTTTCACATTTTGTTCTGGTTCAGCTTCTTTCAGCTTCCTTGTGCAAATTTAAACATTTTTTTTCCAGCTACTTTTAGCTAATTTCAGCTGTTTTGTGCTTCTTTATTTTTTTCAGCTAACTACAACATTTCTGTGCTTCTTCTAACTTCTTCCAGCTAATTTAAGCTTGTTATGCTCCTTTCAGCTTATTTCTGCAAGTTTTCTGCTATTTCAGCTACTATTTACCAGTGTTTTTTTCTTTTTTCTTTTCCTAATTTAAGCTTTTTCAGCTAATTCCACATTTTTGCACTCATTTTAACGTTTTTCAGACTACGGGTAATTCAGCAAAAAATGTGCTCTCTCCATGTCCTGGTAATTTAAGCTTCTTCCTGCTTTTTTTAGCTACTTTTCTGCTTTTGTTGTTGTTGTTGTTGTTGCTCATTTCAGCTTTTTCATATAATTTCCACTGTTTTGTGTTCATTTCTGCTTCTTTCAGCCTAATTGGGCAAAGGTCTTCTTTCTGCTTTCTTCTTCTAATTTAAGCTTGTTCTATCATTTCAGCAACCTTTTTTTGTTTCCAATTTCAGCTGCTTTCAGACAAATTCAAGTTTCTGGTGGTATTTTCTGCTACTCTCAGCCCAATTAACTTATTTCTGCTAATTTCAGCTTGTTATGCTCCTTTCAGTTTTTTTCTACTTGTTTCAGCTTTTTCTGTTATTTCAGCTACTATTTAGCTGTTTTTATGTGAAATTTAGCTTTTCCAGCTAATTCTACATTTTTTTTTTAGCTTATTTCAGCTCTTTCCACTTCTGGTAGTTTAAGCTTCTTTCTGTCTTTTCAGCAATTTTTTTTTTTTTTTAGCTAATTTCAGTTTTTTTTTTTTTTTTGTTAATTTCCTATTTTTGTGCTCATTTCTGCTTTTTTAAACTTAATTCAGCAAATATGTGTTCTTTCTGCTTTCTTCTGCTAATTTAGGCTTGTTCTTCCATTTACAGCTACATTTCAGCATGTTTTTTAAGCTATGTTCAGCTGTTTTCAGCAAATTCTTCAGCAATAAGCATTCACGTTGCATTTTCACAGGAAATAAATTTTCTCTAGTTTAATATTTTGTTTGAGTTTATGGTTAAGTCTTTGCTGTATATTTAAGAAGTGTGCCGGTCTGTTTTACGCCCACAGGGGATTTACCGTGTGAACGGTGCCAAATCACGGGTTGAAAAGCTCTGTCAGGCTTTTGAAAATGGGAAGGACTTGGTCGAACTGTCTGAACTCTCACCCCATGACATCAGCAATGTTCTCAAGCTCTACCTGAGACAGGTGTTTCTCACATTCTCACGTTAGAACTTACTGATAAAACCATATATGTGTGGATATTTTTTTAACCATTTGCAACTGCTTTTAGTTTATTTTTAACTTAATCTTTTAGCTGTGCACCTGGACCTGTTAGATTTTATTATTTAAAATACTAAGAAACTTCATGCAACATTTTATGTTTTATGCTACTTGAACATTAAACACAACACTGTTTTGTTGTCAACAGTTACCCGAGCCGCTTTTCTTGTATCGATTCTACAACAACTTCATCGGCTTGGCAAAAGAGTGCCAGCGGGTGATCGTGGAGGAGGCTGATAAATGTCAGAACAACCAGATTAAAGACAAATTTAAACCGAGCACCCGGATGAATGCAGTCATCTTCAAGATCAGAGACCTTCTCCGTCAGCTGCCCGCAGCCAACTACAGGACCCTACGACACCTTCTCGCTCATCTGAACAAGTACGAGCTCGGAAACAAAACTCCGCTTTTTGTTCTTTTGCTTTCTACACAAAGACTGAAATGCAAACTTCCTCTTAACACTCGGAGGGAAACAGAGACTTCCCTAAAGCACTGGGGGAACTTGTAGAGCATGACAGTGTGTGTTTATAGCATCAATCCAGTTTTTAAGATTCAGTGAAAAATACCTTTATAAGTGTAGAGAGAGTTATGTTCACTAGTCCCTCATTTATTGTGGGGGTTACGTTCTAACCCCACCCCTGCACAAACTGCTAGGTATGAATGCTATATTTATTTTAGTATTTTTATTTATTCAACACTTAGTTAAATTGACATAGATTTTTGAGTTGAAACAACAAACCAAAACAGTTCAGTCAACTAATAAATTTAAATCAACTAAACTAAAGCTAAAGTTTTATTTAGCAAGAGTTTATTAATCAAGATAACTTGATGTTAATTCACTCGACTTACAATTTTAAGTTGAGTGAGTAGCAATGCCTTAAAATTCCAAGGCTTTAGAAACCCGTACCCACCAGCCTTGGTCTGGTTCTGGTCGGCTCCCTGCAGCCATTGAGCCAAAACGCTTTTAGAGAGAGCCGGACCTTCGGAGAGCCAGCACAAAACCACACAATGGTCTCGATCGAGTCCAAATCTGGATGAAAAAAGTCCGGGTGAGCTCCGGAGAAAACACTGGACCTCCAAGCAACTCGTCCCCGCTCATGGGCCGGCACGCAGCACTCGGATTGACCGACAAGGCTGGAAGTCCGGTTCTGGTCCAATTCCCTGTCAGTTCCGTACGGCTCTCTGCATCCACTGAGCACCAAAGTCACTATGAATAAGGACTGAACTTTTTCAGATCGGCTCAAAACTTTCCCTTTATTTCAGCAGAAAGCAACTTTGGCTTCTGGGTAATGTAGTCTTTTTGACTGCTTTATTGAGTGAAAACTACAAATTGGCGGTACCTGTCCGAAGTTGTTTTTTTTTTCTGTGTAATTTTTTTACTGTATCTTGTACTGTCCCAATCAATTGTCATATTAAAGTTGACAGTTGTGTGTGGTGTACAATCTTTTTTTGTTTGTCATGTACAATCTTACTTTAAAAGAGCGAGTCTGCAAAAGTCAAATCGCGAGTAGCGAGGGATTACTTTATTACTGATCACGTTTTTTCATAAACATATTAGTTTAGGCTAAAGCTGTTTCACTGGCTTACACTAGAGGCCCAGTTACTAAAAAAGCTTTCACAAATTACATTGTTTGGTACCCAGCCTTGTATTTTACAAACTCTTTGTCTCTCTTTACCCCCTTCAGAGTTACTGAAGAGGCCGAAGAGAACAAAATGACAGCAAGTAACCTGGGTATTATCTTTGGCCCGACGCTGGTGAAGCCACGGCAGATAGACGCAGACGTGTCCCTGTCCTCCCTGGTGGATTATCCCTTCCAGGCACTGATGGTTGAGCTGCTGGTGCGACACTTCCACACCATCTTCCATGAAGCTCCCATGACTGGTCCTGAAATTGCTCCCAGTGGCCAAGCGTCCCCCAGACTGACCCCCCAGGAGAAAGTGCGGCAGCTCAGCAGACACTCCATGTCCCTGATGGACATCAAAGAGGTTAATTATTCTATGTAAAAATGTGCTTTTTGTTCATTTATTTGTAGAATGCTTATGGTTCTTTTCCTTCCAGAGCGCTCTCTTTTACTCTTTTACGTTACATGTTATTAAAATTTAAACTGATAAAAGTTGAGATTGTTAATCTCAGCGTGACTTTTGTCTCCTCAGAGTTCCAAAGTGTACAAAAGATATTCGTCGGTAATCCCGTCATCGCACATTCTGGATGAGGTGCAGGAGGCCCAGCCTAGAAAAGACAAAATTCTCATCTCGGCCTCGGACCAAGTCAACGGGGTGCAGGCTTCAGGTGGGGCAGAAGCTCAGAAGTCGGCCTCGAGTTTCTCTGCCGCCACGTCAGCACCAAAGGTCCAGCTGCGCAACCAGCGTGTTCGACAGATGTCCCGACCGATCAGCATGCCGCTGGATCGCCTGCCCGCCCCGGCTCAGATCAGCGAGAGGAACAACTGGAACACATCGGACAGCGTTGATGGAAGCCCTTCTCAGCGGGACACTGAAACTATACAGGAGATGCCAGAGCCTGAGAAGACTCGCCAGAGCGGCTCGTCCAGAGTGAGCACCTATTACATCACGCCTTTTATTGACACACAGACGATGCAAAGGAGGACATGGGACAAGAAGTACAAGCACTATCAAGTGACACCCAGAACTGCTATGATAGTTGCCAACCTGCCCCCTTCTGGCTCTGGATTGCAGCCTGTAAAGACAACCGTGTCGGTCACCGTCTCCCCAACTACAAGCACTGCGTCCGTTGTCTCCACCACGAGCAGTGTGAGCACCATATTCTCCAGCAATGTCGGCACCGTGTCAGACAAGCCGGTCAGGACTTTCTTAAGGGAAAAGAGCTCAGAGGATTCAGCTAATGAGTCCACCAGCTCACCGAAGCTTCCGCTAACACTCAGGGCACCACGGACTCTTCAACCCCCTCCTGGAACGTTCTACAAACCTCCAGTTTCTAACAACTGCAAAGCTTGGACTCTTCCGACCTGGACTAGCACTACAGTCTCCCCCTCGTCACTCAGTCCCACCAACTCTGCCCTGTCCCTACCCTCTTCTCCTGGCCTCACACAGGCACGTCACCAGACACAGGATTCTACAGACAGCGCTATCGACCCCGGGGTCTCGACCTCCCCTACCATTTCACCCCCTCAGTCTCCTCCCCCGAGCAGCCCTGACGACCTCAGCCCTGTTGAGGCTAAACCCAGACTGCGACCTCGGCATCTGGAGGAGCACGAACACAGAGAAGCTCATTTTGTCTGACAGCATAAACCAAACCTGTAAATACGAGTTCATCTTTAGCAACATGTTTATCAGCAAGCAAACGTTGGGAGAAGATGCAGGCGTGTGAAAACGAACAACAGAAGTGTTCTAGGTTCTAATGGGTTCTGTTTTACAACATAAAGTCTCGGCGCCAACACGAGTTAGTAATGCAGTTTTAGAAGAAAAAATCATCGGAAGCCATTATGACTGTTTACTGTTATATTAAACACGGTTACAAAAGTATGGTTTTTATATGACAGAATATTTGCCAACAAAATGGATTTCGGTGAACCTTGTTCAGTGTTTGGTTTGTTACAGAATATTATGTTACATGGTGCACTTGAAATTTTTAATTCTGTCCCCTTTCATTTTAAAATTTAATTCATAAAGGTCAAGATTGAAGTATTTTTAACGCAGTGTTCTTAACTATAATTTTTTTTTAGGGATGCACGATATTATTGGCATGGTATCGGTATCAGCCGATATTGGCGATAAAGTTTAATATCAGACATTGGCCATCACATGCGCCATTCAGTTTAGATTTGTGGAAATTTACAAATGTGCACTGTTAGAGTGTCGTCATCGTGTTAGAGTAAATGTCATGAATACATTTGATATTAAACGTAATCCAAGTTGAAGTGTTACATCATTTGCAGTCCTCTTTTTGACATCTGCATTTGGTAGCAGGCCAAAGACCGTGCGGAATAATGTAGTATTTTAATTCCACAGCAGAGAAAGTTATGTGGTCTCTGTAAGTAGGTCTGGGGGAAAAATATCAGTATTGGTATCGGTATCAGCCAAATAAGTTTTATCATATTGGATATTAGCCAAAAATCCAATATCGTGCATCCCTTTTTTTTTCTTATCTACGGTAAATATTTCCACTGCCTGTTGGTCTTTGCTCAGTATGCAAGGCCAAAAGTACAAATGTGTTTATATACTCGTGCATACATATTCATGGTTTGCCACATGTTTGGCTCATCTCAGTTGTGAATATACAGAAATGACATGCAACAGTTGTTTGCTGCAAATTAAAAATATATATATTTTAAAGTTATTTTTACCTGCAATCAATTTTTTATATTTATACTTTTTACATTGTGTGTAGTGTACGTTATGAAGGTTGTCCTTTATATAATTTCAGGAAAACGTGTGAAATTGAAAACAAATTAAGTAGTTGCCAAACAAATATACGGTATATTAGGATTTAATGTAAATAATAATTGGAAAGTATTGAGTTTTTCTTGGAGAAATGGTTTATTTCGTGAACCATAGAAAACTTGTTTTTCATTTGTTGTCTTCTCTAAACGTGTGAATGCTGAGTCAGCATCCGTGTCGACATACGTTGGTCTATTCTAACACTTCATACATAAAAATGTTCGGCTCTGTTGGGAATAGTTAGTTTTTGTAACTTTTGTACATTTAGAAATATTTAACTTAATTTACAGTAGAAGAATTATTCCATTTGAAACACATTCAGATTTCTTCGATTTTTTTAAAAACATTCTCTGAAATCTACTTCAGTATGAAAAAATTTCTCTTATGCTCCTCTCACAGTTTTGCTACTGAATTTGTAATATTAGCTATTAGCTATAGTTTAGCTATTTTTAGGTTTTTATTGCAATTTGGTTATGTTTATGTTTAGCTACTGTGTTGCTAATTTTAGCTTTACCATCAATTTTGTCATTTTATTCATTCAACGGGTTAATCCCAATTCATTTTAGTGTTAATCCTTTATTTATACAGGTTAATCCCAATTAATGTTTATTTAACATTCAGCTAGTTTTTTTTTTTGCTAATTTCAGCATCTGTACTTCTTGTGTAACTTTAGCATTTTAGTTAATTTATTTTTTAACAAAAAAAAACGTGTGTGAAGCTTTTTCTACCTTATTACTACTTTTAGCTATCGTTTTGCTTCTTTTAAGTTGTAGCTACTTTTGGCTTTTAGCTACTGATGTGCTCCTTTTAGTTTTTAGCTAGCCCTTGCCTACTTTAGCCTTTAGCTGCACTTTTGTTATTTTTAATCTTTAGATAGCTTTTTGATACGTTTAGCTATCATTCTGCTACTTTTAGCTATCATTTTGCTTGTTTTGGCTGTTCTGTTCTGCTGTTTTTAGCTACTGATGTGCTCATTTTAGCTTTTAGCTAGCCCTTTGCCACTTTTGGCTTACGCTGCACTTTTGTTACTTTTAATCTTTAGTTAGCTTTTTGATGTGTGTAGCTATTATTAGCTATTGCTAGCTTTTTGATACTATTTTGCTTTTAGCAAATCTTTGTTACTTTTTGCTTTCCTTTTTTTTTTTTACCTTTTGCTTCCTTTTTGCTACTTTTAGTGTTAAGTAACCTTTTGTTTCTTTGAGCTAGCCTTTTCATACTTTTTAGCTACCTTTTAGGTACTTTTAGCTTTTAACTAGCCTTTTGATACTTTAGCTTTTCGGTAGCTTTTTCCATTTTTAGCTAGCATTTTATTACATTTAGCAAGCCTTTTGCTGCTTTTTGCAAGTGCTTCACTACTTTACTAGCGTTTTGCTAGTTTGAGCTGGTGTTTTGCTTCTTTTAGCTAGTATTCTTTCAGCTTTAGCCACTCAGTTTTAGCTAGTAGTCAGCATTCACACTACATCCTAAAGTTACATTTATATATAATTTAAAGTGAAATAACTTTCTGGCAAGAGCCTTTTTGTACATTCATCCCTGAATCCTGACAGATTTTGTTCACCTTCCAGTTTTTGCTAAGCTTTGAATTGTTCTGTAGCTAACCCCTGAACGCGTCGGTTTTTGGCTGAGACGAGCGCAGCAGCCTCAGCTGGTTTATCAAACCTTCACGTTCTCCTCACCTAATTCCTCATGTCAGCCGCTCCACCTCTGAGCACGGCGTCGTTTCCAACCTGCACGACACAGAAACTAAATCAAACCCTCTCCTTTTTGAGTCCTAGCTGCTCCCATGGGACTTCAGCCCAAACTCTAATTTATTCTGTAGGTGCTCAGCTGAAAATTCCCCCCTGGAGTGATGTAAACAACTGTGCAGGTAAATCTTGTTCATGTATTTTTTGACAAACATATTGGCTGCTGCTGTGATGAAGCCCACCTCCCCGTCTTTCCCTCCCCTAAGGCTTCCTCTCTTCTTCTTCTGCAGATATCCACCTAATTCCACCTCGAATGGGCGACTGTTTTCTTTATTTCAGTCTGCCCATGTTGAGCCGAGAGATTAGAGCAATCAGATTAGGAGTGCTGCTGACCTGCAGGCAGAGCGAGTGAGCAGCTCCGAGTCGTTCAAAGCTCCTCTTCACTGCTTAATGTTTTCCACTACTTCAGCTTTTTGTTTTTGTGAGCCTGCTTCTCTCTCGATGTTGCTCGACTTTAATGCCTTTTGATTTAAGGTAAGCATCAAAATTAACAGCTAATTTTTCCATTTGTAATCCCGACTCTTCGGTGGATCTTATAGGAGCTGACAGGTGTGCGTATCAGTTGCTGTCATAACAACATATTGCTTTTTTTGGTGTGCCTTTATCTCACAGCAGCCTCTTCCATGATGTGACATGCTTGCCAGAATATTTCAACATTAATTTGACCAATCTTGTGCAAGGATATCCTCTTGTGTATAATTTGGGTTTGAGTCACGCTGATTTCAGACGTGTAATAACAGCCTTTGCTCTCCTGTTTTAGTCCCGCAGTTTGCTCTTTTTGTTTTTCTCATGGGTGTTTGCGTGCCTGCCTTCTCCGTCTGCCAGCTTGCGGTAATCTGTTGGTCATGGCACTCTGGAAGAAATTACTTTTCATGTTCATCTGCGCGTACATGTCATTGTCCCCCCCCCCCCCCCCAATATCTTCAAAATTAATTTGTCTTTTGGATTACATCTGGAGGACGGAGCAGGTACAAAATTCATTTTTCATTTAGGTATTAACATGCTTACATCTTCTTAACTGATTTGGGTAAGAACATTCTGTAGTTTTCATGTTTTAATAGCTACTCTGAGAAAATTCTGCCTTTATGTCCTTGTATTCTCACCCAACAGACCACCGGGGGTGTAGGGACGTTGCTCAGGAACATCTGTGCAGGGTCTGAGCCAGTAAGCGAAACTGGTTTGAGGAGACTCACTCCCGTTATGAAGAAAAGAGTTGTTTCACCCAAGCCAGGGGTGAAGATCAGGTCACGTCTGAAGGAAGTAAACAATGGCTGCGCACTGTTGCTATTCCTGCCTGATGAAGAAGAGCAGAAGAAACAAACAAAGCTGCACGTTTGTTCATTAAAATGTCTTCGGGGAAGAAAAAGTGGCTTTAAAGGATGTTAAGTTAAAGAAAGTGAAGAATGCAACAGGTCAGGTTTAAAAAGATGCATTAGTAGATAATGTGGGGGCCGAGATGGGGTAGAGGTAGCGCAGCTGACCCGGGTCATTGCACATCTCGTGGTGTCTCTGAGCAGGACACCCTTTCCCCAATTGCTCTCCAGGTGCCCCCAATAGCCGCCCACCTCTCCACCTGTGTGTATCCCAGGTGCGATGGGTTAAATGCAGAGAGCCAATGGGAACATACAAAGATGACAACACATAACACATTATTATTATATGTTATACAGTCAACTCTCTGGACAGGCAACATCAAAACGTGGGTGGGAATGGTGAAGCACCCGCACCTGCCTCCACCTCATTTGCCCCATTCTGGGCCCTTGAGCCTTTATGTTTTTGTATTTTCACACTCCCTTGACCAAGGCCCTCTGCTCCCCCGGGCGCCCCAGATGGCAGCTCTCTGCTCCACACAGAGGGCTGTGGTAGCTCGGTGCTCTGTGGCTGCATCAGGAAGGGCATCCGGAGTAAAAACAATTGCCAAGTCTTCATGCGAGTTGTGGTGAAGAGAGAGCTGAGCTGTAAGAAAAAGCTTTCGGTTTACGTCAGTCAGTCTATGTTCCTACCCGCACCTATGGTCACGAACTCTGGGTAGTGACCGAAAGAACGAGATCTTGTATACAGGCGGTTGAAATGTTTCCTCCACAGGGTAACTGGACTCTCCCTTAGAGATAGGGTGAGACGTTTAGTTATCTGGGAGAGACTCGGGGTAGAACCGCTGCTCCTCCACACCGAGAGGAGACAGTTGAGGTGGTTCGGGCGTCTGGTAAGGATGCCTCCTGGGCGCCTCCCTAGGGAGGTGCTTTAGGCATGTCCGACTGGGAGGAGACCCCGGGGAAGACCCAGGACACGCTGGAGAGACTACGTTTCTCAGTTGGCCTGGGAACGTCTTGGAGCCCTCCTTGAAGAGCTGGAAATAAGAGATGTTTGGGCTTCGCTGCTCAAGCTGCAGCCCCCGCGACCCAACTTCAGAACAAGTGGAAGATGATGGATGGATTCATGCGAGAGTTTGTTCACTGTGACGACCCCTGATGAAGGGAGCAGCCGAAAGAAGAAAAAAAATACAGGACCATCAGCCTAACAACTGGTTGTTGCTAACAACCAATTGTTAGGATGATGGTCCTCCTTTGTCATGTGAACAGCTAGATCTGGATGTCAACAACAAACTGGTTGATCCACTATGAGGAGGTGTTTTTTTATAAGACTGAGTTTATTGCAGCTCCGCAGACTGAAGAAGTCTTCTGGATAAAAGATGAAATGTTTTAACTTTTTTTTTATTCGTACAGAGGACCTGATTTAACTTTGTTAGTTTTTTTATTGAGCATGCTTCAGGAAAAAAAAAACAACAACACTTTTATAGAAACTAAATAGCTGATTTTAATACAATCCATCTTTTAAAAGCTAACTAACTAGGAAAGATGATAAAACTTTGATAAAATGGACATGGAGAGTTCAAAATCTGAAGTGATGAATGAATGAATGAATTAGATTTAAGTTTCTATATTTGCTTGTTTCTGTGTGTGTGTTTGTAGTGTTAGCAAAATATCTCATGAAACAGTTGATGAACCTTTAGATTAAACTCTGAAAGTAATTCTGAGTGATGGAGTAAACTGTGTCTGTCTGTTAGCAAAATAACTCATGAACCACTGGACCGATGGTTTCTGAAATTGCCAGAAAGTTATCACCGGGTGGACGTTTACAGCTAATTTGGAGACAACTCAATTAAAGATGGCCACCACAGCCAAATGACCCTAGAAAATACAAACGTTGCTGTAAATCAGTCAGTTTTACAGATAATTAGCTCAAAGTTGCCGTCAGAGTAGTCGAGTACTCAAAGTCAAAGAATGTTGGGAAAGGTATTTATTTCCTATTAAGGACACATCAGTTTTGAATCAAAGACAACAATAACATTATTTAACCGCAACGCTCAAATAGACAAATGTTGAATTTTAGGCTTTATAGCAAATAGCTGCTTCCACCAAAGAGCAAAGCAGCGAATGAAGAGAAACAAAGTGTCATATGTCCAAGTTTTGGCAGGAGTTATATTTAAACATGTGCGATGGTCTGCAGGAGGCCCCGCTGATTTCATGGGATTTTCCACTTCATCCTGTCTGCTGTAGCTTCACTTTTCTCTGTTCTGATCTGGAGCTCACAAAGTGCTGCGCAGGAGCTGAAAGGGAGAGGGAACTAAAATATTTTGGACGAGTCGCCTAATTTGATTTTTCATTCTCAGACATGTATGTCTGAATGGATCTGTGCCTTGTTTAAAGCAGCCATGATTTTCAAAATAAAGTCCACTTTAAGTTGGTGATGGGTGATATACAGGATTGTGTCTACTTTCGGTTCAAAGTGACATAATTGGTCAAATGGTGATGGGTGAGGTAACTGATAATGGGATCTGGTCTAATGTGCAGTATTTGTGATTGATAAGTATCACCAGTAAGGTTGTGTACCTGCAGGAGCCTGATGACCCCCTCCAGGGGTTGAGCTGCAGAGAAATGAAGAGAGGCTCTCAAATCCGCCTGTTACTGTGGAAAAATTGGACACTCCGCAAAAGACAAAAGGTAAAAGTTGTGAATACACCTAAACACCACGACGAGCAGTTCAGAAAGTGACCATTGTGTGAATGTTGCATGTGTCTGTTAGCAAAATATCTAATTTTTCCAATAGATTTAGAACTGATTAACTTTTTGGAGGCATTCAAACTCTAAGAACGCTACAGCTAACAGACTTTAGCAAACACAAAAATGGCTGTAAAAGCCAATTTTAAACATACGAGCTAAAATTGGGTGTGGTAGTGGCTGAGAGTCATTCACTACACACACTCTGACCCAGTGGTGTAGTCTACATTTTTGTACTGGTTATACTGTGCTTAGAAACCAAATTACACTGGTTAGCACAACGTAATTCTCAATTTATTTTGATTTTTAAGCGTATTGAACATTTCAAGATTTCTCTGATGCATATATTTGAGTAAATGTACAACAAACTTTGTACAACAGTTGGTTTTGTATTAAAAACACGTATAATTTATAAAACAGTATTAAAGCAAAACATGTTCAAGTAGTAAGTACAGAAATATTAATTATAAAACAAACTGGTTGAACCATGTGTCTGTAAAATGTTCCAGATGTGTTGGCAATGACACAAGCCCAATGATACATCATCTATCATTGGGCACTTTAAAGTGGGTATACTGTAATTCCCAAGCTTTTTTAATGGGTATACTATGTATACGTACGTATCACATAGACTACACACACCCTGAACACTAACAGACCACTGGAGAACTTTACTTTTAAACGTTAGAATGCGATGCGGCAGATAATGCCTCGTTCATTTGTGTAGCAGTTTTCTTGGATCGCGTTTCCTTTTTGTCCCCGTTTCTCTGAATATATCTTTTTCTCATGGGTTTGTCTAGATCCGCTTCCTGGTGGAGATCTTCTGGCCAGTATTGTTGTTCGTCGGTCTGGTGTGGCTGAGGAAGGCCAATCCGCTGTACCAACAACATGAGTGTGAGAAATAAACCCCAAAGAGCAGCTATTATTGCTATTTTCTTCCCAGCTGTGGAAGCATATCCTCCCATCTGTTTTTCATGGGAAGAATAATCCTTTTGGAAAGTCTCTCTGTCAGGTCAAGAGTCTGGACGGGCCGGCTCATGCGATGTCTGTTTGTTCAGGTCACTTCCCCAACAAGGCCATGCCTTCGGCGGGGATTCTCCCCTGGATCCAGGGGATCTTTTGCAACGCCAACAACCCCTGTTTCAGATATCCAACCCCGGGAGAGTCACCCGGCGTCGTGTCCAACTACAACAACTCAGTGTAAGCACAAGTAGAACAAACCTGGGATGCTTCACTATAAAATTTAAACGATTAGTTGCAAGAGTTTTATTTATTTATTTATTTATTGGTTGACCCCAGACTAGCGCGGTTCTACGCTGACGTCCAAGAGCTCTTGTTCGATGAGACAGAGGTTCAGCAGCTTGACAGGCTTTGGCGTGACATCACATCCTTCTCTAACTTTATGGATACTTTACGCATCAACCCCTCTGCAGTTGCAGGTAAAAGCATTTCAGTCTTCCTCCTGGTCAGTTTTTAGATCTATAATCTGCACAGAACTCATGCAATTAACTTGTGTTCATTTTATCTTGAAGGCAGTCATTTTTCTTATTCCTTTGGATTTTTTTCGGTGAACACACGTTTTATCTGACTGTGAACCCTTCCCTCTCAGCTGTTTCGTATGGGTTTGCTCAGTATTCTGTGCATGTCTGATATTTTACCGTCTGTGTTTATGATTTTTCCGCCCAGGCCGCGGGCTGAAGGTTGAGGACATCATGAAGGATGACGAAGTTTTGACGGCCTTCCTGTTAAGAGACGCCGGCCTCTCAGAGTCTGTAGTCCACCAACTCGTAAATGCAAAAATACGTCTGGAACAGGTGAAGCTCAAACCACGGTTCAGTCAGGAAGCTGAGAATTTTTATTTTATACAATCAACACTGGTGTGTTTGTGTAAATGCTGATTCAGAACTATGACTTTTGTTGTTTTGTACCTTTTGTACTTTTCAAAAATATTTAACTTAATTTACAAAACTTCTTATGCTACTTTTAGCCTTAAACTATCTCTTTTTTTTTTTTTTTTACCAGATTTAGTTTCTAGCTAGCTCTTTTGTCACTTTTAGCTTTTACTTTCAACCCCAAGCTAGTGTTTTGTTACTTTTAGCTAGCCTTTTGATACTTTTATGTTTCAGTAAGCTTTTGCAACTTTAAGCTTTAAGGTTGCTTTTGTTATTGTTAGCTGTTAGGTTGCTTATTGCTACTGGTACTTTAAGATGTTTGGTTACCTTTTGTTACTTTTAGCTATTAGCTAGCCTTTGGATAGTTTTAGCTTTTAGCCTTTGGTTACTTTTAGCTTTAAGGTTGCTTTTATTACTGTTAGCTGTTAGAATGCTTTTGTTACCTGTAGGTGTTAGCTACTTTTAGGTAGCATTTTGCTCTTTTTAGTTTTTAGCTGTTTTTGAATTAACAACTCAGTTTCATGTTCTCCAACAAATTTCAGCTGAGTCGCTCAGCATTCATTCACGCTGTAGTTTAGCAGAAAATGCCATTTCTCTTCTTTTCTTACAAACACACAACTCTCTGCCTTTGTGTTTCTCCGTCTGCTGTCCAGTTTGCGTTTGGAGTCCCAGACCTGCAGCTGAAGAACATAGCGTGCAGCCAGTCTCTGCTGGAGCGTTTCATCATCTTCCCCAGTCGGATGGGCCTCCACGGGGTTCGCAACGCCATGTGTGCCCTCAGCCAGCAAATGCTGCAAAAGATCGAGGACATCCTTTATGGCAATCTGGACTTTTTCAAGATCTTTAAACTGGTCAGTAGCTGGATGAACTGTGGGTAAAATAACTTCTTACAGCAAGATGTCGCCTAAAAGTTTAACGTTTCTACTTAAATGTCCTCTGAGGGCCGATGGCAGTTTGAAGCGTTTTGTTTTTATCTGATTTTGCTCAGTCAGACGTCTGAACAGCTTCCAAGCTTCCATTTCTTTGCAGGCACACTTTTAAAGTGCAATTTAAATATATTTTTTTAAAAACCATTTCACCTTTTTAAAGTCTGGAAGAGCCCAATCTTATGCCAGCGGGTTTTTAAACGTTTCTCGGTATCCTGCTATCATTTATCCTCCCACTCCATCTTAAGGTCGCTCGTTGTCACTAACCAAGTCAGGCTCCTTCAGGTCGGAACATTTGCAGAGAGAATGCAGACGGTCTGAAAGGATGTGCGTTGAAGTGTGAGCTGGCGGGTGGAGCCAGTGTGTTCAGCTCCAAGGCTACAGAAATATTTCCTGAAATTTTTCATACTTGCAACAGGATGAGCAAAATCGAGCTACTGTTTCTGCTTCGGCTCCCATTTTCATCTTAAATCCTGTGTGAGCGTTGCGTTGGTGCATGCTCTGGTTTCCGTTCATGTACGGTTATCAAGACCACTTTAAGGGATCTGAAGAAAGTCTGTCTCCCTGAAAGTAAAATCTAAAGAAATGAGCGCTGACTCCAGACCTCAGCACAGTTTCGTCTGTGCTCTGGTTCATGCAGGGTGAGTCACATGACTGGCTCAGGGAATTCGTACGACATTATCCTTCTTGACCTGTTTCTCTAATGAGCTTAGCCGAGAAACTGCATGTAAGGTATCCTGGAAGAGAAGGTGCTGCGTCTGGTGCGAACGCTCTGCCAACGGGTGCTGCTCTGAAGAGTTCGCTCACCTCCATTTGTGGGTTAAAGACAGACTAGGGTTGGGCCTTTGGTTGGAGTTTTTTTTAATAAAACATACAACCTACAGTATTGGGAATATTTAATAAATAGTTTATTATTAAGGACAAATTGATTAGAATTGATGCACGGGCTAACCTGGATGTATTTAAATGATGTATATAGATTGGAAACTATTAGTTTATTATTGAATGTTACCAAAAAGCAGACAAAACTTTCACCCATGTTTCTGTGTGTGCATTTATCTGTTAATCAAATATCTTATGAACCAGTGGAGTAATTTTAATTAATTTTAGAATTGTACAGAAAAGATTCAATAACTATAAATGTATAACCGCGAAACCAACAATATATGTGTGTTCATCTTCTTCTTCTTCTTTTGGCTTTTCCCTCTTCAATGGTCGCCACAGCGAGTCATCCTCCTCCATCTCACTCTGTCCTCTTCATCCTCTGTCCTCATTCCAACTACCTCCATGTCCTCTCTAACTGCATCCACTTATCTCCTCTGTCTTTTTCCTGGCAGCTGCATTTCTAACATCCTTCTACCAGTATACCCACTGTCCCTCCTCTGATCATGTCCAAACCATCTCAGTCTGGTCTCTCTAACTTTATCTCCCAGTTGTTCAACCTGTGCTGTACCTCTGATGATCTCATTCCTGATCTTATCCACCCTTGTCAGTCCTAAGGAGAACCTCAACATCTTCATTTCTGCCACTTCCAATTCTTTGTCCTGTCTTTTTGTCCATGTCTCTGTCTCCAGACCACTCAACATAGCTCGTCTCACCACTGTCTTGTAATCTTTTCCTTTGACCTTTGCTGACACCCTTTGGTCGCAAATCACTCCTGAAACTTTTCTCCATCCTGCCTGGACTCTCTTCTTCACCTCTTTACCACACTCCACATTTTCCTGGACAGTGGACCTCAAGTCCTTGAGGTTCTGCACCTTTGTGACCTCTGCTCCTTGTAACCTCACTGTTCCACCTGTCTCCTTCTCATTCACACGCATGTACTCTGTCTTACTACGGCTGACTTTCATTCCTCTTCTTTCAAATGCACACCTCCACCTCTCCAAGTTCTCTTCCACCTCTTCTCACCACCGATCATAATGTCGTCTGCAAATAGTCCACAGGGATTCCTGTCTGACCTCATCTGTTAGTCGGTCCATCATCAGAGCAACAAGGAGGAGCTCAGAGCAGATCCTTGATGCACTCCCATCTTCACCTTGAAGCTATCTGTCACTCTTACAGCGCATCGCACCACTGTCCCGCTGTCCTCATACATGTCCTGTACCAGTCTAACATACTTCCCTGCCATTCCAGAGTTCCTCATGCAACCACACCTCCTCCCTCGGCACCCTGTCGTACGCTTTTTCTAAATCCACAAAGATAATGTATATACACATTTTTTTTAAACTTGTGAATCATGTTGTAAGGTGCCTGGCTGCACAGGTGAAGGAGTGCAACATTTGTTTAGTATTCCTTGTGTTGATAATAATAGTCTATCTGTTTAATTTGATATGCAAATGTAGCTTTATTGAATTTTGTTAGCCACAGCCGAAGGCAAATGATGCTTATTAAATTAGATTTTTGCCTGTGCGTGTGTTTGTTTGTGAGTCCTGTTGGGAAAATATCTCATGAACCAGTGGACATGATTTAATGAGACTTTTAGAAAATCAATCATTGGATGTACATCTGTAATTAATTAACTTGTGGGGTGATTTAAATTCACGATGGCCACTGCAGAAATCAAAGCAGCCATAACTCAGTTCTTCATCATAATGTGATTTCTAGTAAAACTCTGATGTCAAAGCTAGTAGGTGATATGCATTTCTTTAAGGAATGCTATATCTTTAATGGTGGTTAATCGTTAGTATTTAAGTAAACAAACGCTCACCTTGGTTGTTAGAAAAGCAGCATCTGAGTCATTGAACCTGTTAAAGTCAAAGCCCATTACTGTACTGACCTCTGACTTAACAACTTTTCTACTCATTAAGCTCTTGACTCTCCATCAGCCTCGCATCACCCTCCCTTCCCATGCCCTCACTTTTTTCTCTCTTCCCACCCTTTACTGTACCGCCTCCCTCCTTCCTTCGTTCATTGAAATGCAGGCACAAGGAATGCAGGAGGAAGGATATCTCATGTGTGTTTGTCTTGGCGTGCGGTGTTTCCTCACCCTCAGCGGTTTGCCCTGACCAGGCGTTTTCATCAACCTTCTGTTGATGGATTCTCAAGAACAGAAAGCTACCTTTGGAGCTTCGGGGGCAATAAAGTGATTTGATATTGAACGATTGATCTCAAACTTGAAACTGGTTCAACCATTGTTGCCGCATGTCAAGTCTAATCTGCATTAAAATAAAGATTAGCTAGTTTGACAGGGTTGTGTCCAGTAGGACCCTTTCCTGTAAGTTACATGGGAAGAAAGTGCGCAAAACAGTTCCCTTCCTTAATGAAAACATCTTTCAACCGGAGTTTTTATGCCTGAATGTGTTTATGTTTCTGAGCTTACCGTAGGACCTAACTTAAAAAAAAAAGATTTTAAAGCTAAAAACAAAGATCTCTTGTTTCATATTTTCCTTGGATGCATCTTGTGACTTTGTTTCCACAGATGCCTCAGGTTCTGGACAGCAGATCTCCGGGGATTGACCTGCATTTCTGGGGTCGGGCTCTCAGGGCAACGTCGGAGAAGATCCAATTGGTAAGTGTTCTCCCAAAACCTTCTCGCTCTCTTCTCCTTGGACCCTTGCAGGATCAGAGGAGCCAGTATTTTTAGTCCTGCAGGAAACTCGCCTTTTCCGCTGCTCTGTGTTTGAGGGTTGATCAGAGAAGAGGCAGCGCGACGGGGCTCAGCAGTGTGAGGGGTCGCATGCGTGTGTTACTGCTCCACATGTACTGCACAAAGACTGCTGTGTCTGTAAGCTTTGACATGTGTGAGGCTTTGTGCGTTTTCATTCACGTATAATTCAATAAAACACAAAGTTAAGACAGGGGAGTCCGAACCTTTCATACGTAGGCCAAAACTGTCAAGATGAAACGACTTGCAAGCCATAAAAATCTGAATTTAAGACAATTTGAAATAAAGTGTTTATATTTTTGTGATTATTACCATTTTTGTAGACACTCAATAACAACCTAAACTAAAATTTTGAGAGAGGACAAAAGTTTACTATATTATTTAACTTAAATATATACATATTTATACATTTACA